GAAAAATGACTGAGGGAGAACTAAATTAAATTCTAAAGCATAGGTCTCCTATCGAGCCAAATAATACAAATAAAATGAAAGGGTGAACGATGTCTTTCCAATATGAATCAAAATGTACATGGTGATAATATATATAGAGAGCCTACAATCACGTTATGTATAGGGATGGGTATCTTTTGAAATGTATCGATTCCTATTCCGGTTGTGCTTATCGATTCCGGTTCTTATCGATTCCCCGTTTCGATTCCAAAATTGTAAAAGAAAGAGGTCAAACGTTTAGACAACAAAAATATCTTTATTCTTTTAAGCTTTAACTGACATTTTTACAAATAAAAAATATACATGCAATACAAATGTATTGCACAATAGCTGTGCTTTATTTTTCACTGAGCGATGCCTGTGGCAAGCTATTAACAGGCATTACACTGTGCCTTGTCTTTTTCTTTTTTAGTGTAGTGGAGCCTCACTTTAGAGCGTTTACCGCGATCCATCTTTGGTGTTATGAAGTGACTGAGCTCGTGAACTGTCTACGGGAGGGCGGGGGGAGCCTCGCTGCGGGGCAACTGTGAACCTCTGTCGCCTGTCAGCACAACTTACATGATGGCTTTTTAAAAAATGAAGGGCGGTGCCGGCCGCCAGCGGACCGAGCCGGACGTCAACGGCCCGCTGACGGCCGGCCGTTCTGTGATTCTCCAGAACACACAGATGGCAAGTCCGCCACTGTATTCCACCGGGTCACCGCGGCGGAGACGGACCCGGTGGAATACAGGGTCTACCGCGTTTAGGAACCGTTAAGCAGAACCAAAATTGTGTATTTTGTATGGGTACCCGGTACCCAGCATTTTCTTATCGGTTCCCAACCCTACTTTCTGGTCATCAAAATGTCAGAAATTGGAGTCAACATCCTCAATAACCTCCCAAAAAAACTCAGAAATTGCCTAAATTGGCCAAGCCATTTTTTTCGCAGTTATCTGCATATGCTAATTAAGGCAATTTATGCCAATTGTGCATATTGCCCAACATATGCAAGTCCGGCAGTTTCTATGTGCGGGGGATCCGTACTATACATTTCTATCATAAAACGTTGGGGTACTCAACATTTCCGGGTTCACAATAGACTATGAGCTGGCAAGTAGACTATTAGGCCTGATTATCAAGAACCTCAGTGATGCAACGCCAGCGTAAATATCCTGATCAATAACGGATTACGTAATGTACATTTCTCTCATATTACATGTATGATGTTTGATTAGAAACAGAACAGTCTGGCTAATAGAAGAACAAGATTTTGAGCCAACAAACTGAATAATACTAAGTATCAACTTAAAGGTGATGATATGTCAATGTTGTGTGCGCTGGGGGCCCTAGGGGCCAAAAGAGTGGTCCCCACAGGCTGCAAAGCACTTCAGATCTGAAAGTCTGCACACATGTCAGACATAATGTCCCTACAAATGTATTATTCTATCATAACTATTGCAATAATTGCATGCATACTGTTTTAGATTTTCTTTTTCTACACCTTCTCAGAATGTGCAAGATACTGCCAAGGCACAC